TTTCTGGACTTATGATTTGATGATTTCTTTATATATATTTATATATTTATACACATTTACTAGCGCAAATTATTTATTTATTGGTACACTTTATATATGGTGATTTTTTGCAGCTGGTACACTATTAGTAAGTTATATAATTTTGACCATAGGCGCTATTATTAATTTTTCTTGTTCTTGGATGTTACTTCGGGGTCACTGGTTGGCCGGAAACCTGCTAACTGACCTTTAGGAAATTTGTGTAAAGAAAAAAACTTTCCTAATACACACAGAAAACCCCTTTTCAACCTGAAAAACCGTTAAAAAGGACAAAGTGGATCCTTATAAAAAAACACGGGACATTTCACAGTAAAACAATTACATGGAGGTAAACCGAAAAACTGCGCCAAAAGTAACCTTGTTGCTGATGCAAAAATCACTCATACCAACACCGCTAAACGATCTGCGTTACACACGCAATCTTCGCTGCAACCACTAAAACCGTTTACACAAAAAGTCTGCTGGATGCGAAACACGCAACGCAGCAGCTTTAAAACAAACCCGCTTTACAATAAGGAACTAATTTTAACAGGAAAAACACAAGAAAAACATAATCACTATACAAGAAATCTATGTGCAAAAACCCAGACTTCACCACGCTCACTAAATGTGGAACACGCGAGGGAAAAACTCGCTTAACACACTTTAAATTGGCTGGCAATACGCAAATTTAAAGCTAAAAGCAAACAACTTAAACTGTAAAAATTTGGATTAAAAACACAAAATGGGTCAAATGCATATAGGAAACTTCATGCACATTGCATAGAGATTACTGCACATGTGGTAGTCAACAAAATGGCCACCAGAGAAGCCACATGTGGTAGTCAACAAAATGGCCACCAACAGGTAAAGCACATGTGGTAGTCAACAAAATTGCCACCAACAGGTAAAGCACATGTGGTAGTCAACAAAATGGCCACCAACAGGTAAGGCACATGGCAGTCAACAAAATGGCCACCAACAGGTAACACATGGGAACACTAGCCTCAAAATTGCCTCTAACCTCTTACATAAAACAGACTTTTGGACAGAACATACACTGGACAATTACACAACAATATACAGCACACATACAACACAATTTGGCACGATCACAGAACGGACATAAAACACCAACATATCACACTAACATGCACATGTAACAGAAAGGACCCCCTGCTGCATGCTTGCTGGGAGCAGCAGTAGTACCACAAAACACGGCACAGACTACATACACACAAAGATCTTACAACAGTTAACAATTAACCTAAGCCTTTCAGCACTGTAATAATTACCTCACGTGGAGGGGGGTAAAGCAATCACCACAGTACTTACAACCCGCAAATACTTACCTAACACTATGCAACAACTTTTACCCGCTAAAACATATACCCGTTTAATTTTTGGTTGGAAGATTTTTAAACTTGACCAAATCCAGCCAACCAAACCCACCCCTCTGCTGCTCTCCGCAGAGACAAACCCTTGTCTTTCACCCACAAATCAAGATTTTAGGACAAAATAGGTCCTTGCTAAGCGGTAATTCTTGTTAGCTAACAGAGAGCGAAATCAGCCACACGAACGTGCAAAAAGCGATCCTCTTAATGGCAGAGAGACCTGAAATGTGCCGGCATACTTTTTGCTAGTTCATGATGGCTCATTCCCCCCTCATGCTCGGTTAGCTATCCCAGAATACGCGTTAGTATCCACCAGGCTCGCCAAACTGTCTTGGAAATTCGCTTTAACGAATTTTCCTTACCGTGAGTACTCGCAGTTGGATGCGCAGAAATCCCCCATAAAGCTGTGCGAATCTCGCTTACCACAACTGCAGCTAAACTACACGATTCCTGCCCATCCAACTACTTTAGCTTCTGTTGAAATGTGGGGGGTGGAGCTCCCTATACCTGGAAATGATCACACGACACCTTCAGGTTGATGGTTGAATTCACATAAGGGCAATTTTCATTCTCCCCTTTGGTTTTATTACAAATACACACACGCCCCCCCCCATGAATAAGGTCAAACCCCTCCCACAGAACAATGCAATGGGGAGTGCCTATACACAGGATGTACATTCCGATTGGAGCATAGCCTTTCCTATTATCTGTCACTGATCCTCCCCCATGAGCCTTCTGAGGTCAGCAGACTTCCTCCCCTTCCCCCCATGAGCCCTCTGTGGAGAGCATATCTCTTGTTCCAGCTCCTAGCAGTATGTTCATTCTCTGTACAAGCATTCCCTAGAAATATCAGTCTGTACCTGGATGGGCCCGATACGATCTTTATTAAAACACATCCATCCAAGATACAGTTCAGATTGGTAATGGGTTGTGAGATATGCATAAGCCTACACGCGGAGTTCGTACCACTTGGCGCCTTGCGGTACGGAGTCCATGTGGTACTATGCTGCTGATATGTGGATACAGGCCCGCGGTCTACTGCCAGCGGCATTCGCATCGAATGCCGTGGTGGTATACACGCCGGTCTATAAGCGCAGATCTGCCATCTCATCCATTACCGAGCTGAGTACTGTAATTCATACATTGTACATGCGCATGGCCCAATTGCAGCCTTCAGAGCTTTAATTAAGCCACACGAGAGACATATGAATAACACAAATATATGACACATTTAAAGTTTGACCAACAATACAAAATTTCCATGACATCCCCAAGGGGAGAAGTCAGGCTGGTACAAACGGCAGCCAGGATCTGATCCGGAGGTATGACCGAGGTCGGCTCAGAGTCTTCCCTGGACAGCTCAGAGTATTGCCGTGTCAAGGCATCAGCCCCGACATTCTTGGAGCCAGGCAAATAGGAGACCACATAGTTAAAGCGCGACAAGAACAGAGCCCATCTGGCCTGACGGGGCGTCAACCTCTTAGCCTCCGAGAGATACGTCAGGTTCTTGTGGTCAGTGAGAATGAGAACCGGAACCGCAGAACCCTCGAGCAGGTGCCTCCATTCCTTGAGAGCCTGAATAATGGCCAATAACTCCCTGTCTCCAATCTGGTAGTTGCATTCTGCGGAGGAAAGCTTCCTGGAGTAGAACCCACAGGGAAGTAGGGGTCCATCGGGCGACCAACGGTGAGACAGGAGGGCGCCTACTCCAGTCTCAGATGCATCAACCTTGAGGACAAAAGGCAACCCAGGATTGGGATGAGACAGTTTCGGAGCTGAAGCGAAGGCGGATTTCAGAGCTTCGAAAGCTAAGATGGCCTCGGATGACCACTCATTGGGATTACTCCCCTTCTTGGTCAGATCTGGGAGAGGCTTGGCCAGCGTGGAGAAGTTCCTGATAAACTTCCGATAATAGTTGGCGAATCCCAAAAAGCGCTGAATGGACCGAAGACCACTGGGACGAGGCCACTGCAGAACTGCCGAAACCTTCTGAGGGTCCATGGAGAATCCCACAGCGGAAATGATGTAGCCCAAAAAGGCAACCTGGGATCGGTGAAATTCACTGTCATGGCTCCAGGGTATGACCAGAGGTATGTGAACTGACGCAGGGAAACGCAGGCTTCAGATATGTTATAAACAATATAATTTATTAATACTAACAATACATAAATGCAGTGCAATACTAAAGCATAACACAGTGCAAACGAACCAAACCAAACCACCCACAGATAACAATACATACAATGCAAGCGTCGTCAGGCAGGCCGGGTCAATAACAATCGGGCAGGTAGGAACAGGAGGAGCAGGCAGAGAGTAGTCAGGTCACGAGCCGGGTACAGCAACTAACGGGCAGGTAGGTACAGGGGGTCAGGCAGAGAATGGTCGGGGTCACAAACCAGGGATCAAACAGGAGAAGTCAGCAGAGGTCCGGATCAGGCAGGGTCGGCAACGAATCAGTCAGACAGGAACAGGAACAGGAAACAAGATACAGAGGCCCATAGAAAAACACACACCAGGGCACAGACTGCAGGTCTGGCCATCCCTTAAATACACCTGTGATCAGCCTCAGGTGTTTTGGCTGACTGCAGGGTTGAGTCTCTGATTGCTGAAAGCACCCGCTGGCCAGCCCTGGTACTGCAGCCCCCAAGGCAGGTGAGTCCCACCATTACTGGCAAGTCCATTCCTGACAGTACCCCCCCCTCAAGGAGCGGCCTCAGGACGCTCCAAACAGTCCTAGCTGGGCAAAATGTTCCACCGCCCGGGTCTGGTAACTGGCGGGATATCAAAGACTGGAACATCGGGCTGGACTCCGGGCAGCGGCACATCGGGCTGGACTCCGGGCAGCGGCACATCGGGCTGGACTCCGGGCAGCGGCACATCGGGCTGGACTCCGGGCAGCGGCACATCGGGCTGGACTCCGGGCAGCGGCACAGGGCCCCCAGGAGGAGTGGCAGGCACAGGGCCCCCAGGAGGAGCGGCAGGCACAGGGCCCCCAGGCGGGGCGGCAGGCACAGGGCCCCCAGGCGGGGGGCAGGCACAGGGCCCCCAGGAGGGGCGGCAGGCACAGGGCCCCCAGGAGGGGCGGCAGGCTCCGGGCCCCCGGGCGGAGCGGCGGGCATCGGGCCCCCGGGCGGAGCGGCGGGCGCCGGGCCCCCCCCCAGGCGGAGCAACAGGCACCGGACCCCCAGGCGGAGCGACAGGCACTGGACCCCCAGGAGGGGCAGCAGCGGGCACCGGGCCCCCAGGCGGAGCGGCGGGCACCGAGTCATCAGGCACGACAGCGGGCATCGGGTCACCAGGCATCAGGTCATTTGGCTCGCCAGCGGGCACCGCGTCATCTGGCAAGGCAGTGGGCACCGAGTCACCAGGCACGACAGTGGGTTCCGAGTCAACTGGCATGACCGCAGGCACTGGGTCAGACAATGGATCGTCTGGCTCGACAGCGGGCATCAGGTCACCAGGCATCGGGTCATTTGGCTCGACAGCGGGCACCGCGTCATCTGGCAAGGCAGTGGGCACCAAGTCACCAGGCACGACAGTGGGCTCTGAGTCAATTGGCACGACAGCGGGCACCGGGTCATCAGGTATTGGATTGTCTGGCTCGACAGCGGGCATCGGGTTACCAGGTATGACAGCGGGCACTGGGTCACCAGGCATCAGGTCGTTTGGCTCGCCAGCGGGCACCACGTCATCTGGCAAGGCAGTGGGCACCGAGTCACCAGGCACGACAGTGGGCTCCGAGTCAACTGGCATGACCGCGGGCACTGGGTCAGACATTGGATCATCTGGCTCGACAGCGGACATCGGGTCACCAGGCATCAGGTCATTTGGCTCGACAGCGGGCGCCGCGTCATCTGGCAAGGCAGTGGGCACCGAGTCACCAGGCACGACAGTGGGTCACCAATTGGCACGACAGTGGGCTCTGAGTACCGGATCGTTGGCTCGACAGCAGGCACCGGGTCATCAGGTACCGGATCGTCTGGATCGACAGCGGGCACCGGGTCATCTGGCGTTGGATCGTCTGGCTCGACAGCGGGCATCGGGTCACCAGGCATGACAGCGGGCACTGGGTCATCAGGCATTGGATCGTCTGGATCGACAGCGGGCACCGGGTCATCTGGCGTTGGATCGTCTGGCTCGACAGCAGGCATCAGGTCACCAGGCATGACAGCGGGCACCGGGTCATCAGGTACCGGATCGTCTGGCTTGACAGCAGGCACCGGGTCATCTGGCGCTGGATCGTCTGGCTCGACAGCGGGCATCGGGTCACCAGGCATGACAGCGGGCACTGGGTCATCAGGCATTGGATCGTCTGGATCGACAGCGGGCATCGGGTCACCAGGCATGACAGCGGGCACTGGGTCATCAGGCATTGGATTGTCTGGCTCGACAGCGGGCATCGGGTCACCAGGCATGACAGCAGGCACTGGGTCATCAGGTACCGGATCGTGTGGATCGACAGTGGGCACCGGGTCATCAGGCATTGGATCGTCAGGCTGGGTACAGACATCAGGCTGGGTAGAGACATCAGGCTGAAGTGCGGGTGCCGAGGCACCAGGCTGAACCACGGAAGGCAGGTTCTCAGACGGCAGGCTCACCGGTTAGGATACTGGCAGGATGGTACTCGTTGGAAAGAATTTTTGCTTTTTTCTGGTTTTAACTACGGAGCACTGCAAGTAAACGCAGGTCTGCAAACGAATGGAGCAGCTGAGGATAGAGAAGAGCTGGAAGATGGAACAGAGGAGGGAGCAGTTGCTACAGAGGACTTCTTTACAGGGTTAAAGAAAGGATAGGTGCAGCGAGTGGGAGCAGAGGACTGGTATGTGGTAGTTAGCAGAGTATACTGGGCCGTCACTGGGGGTGCTGTCGGGGATGCAGGAAGAGTGCCTTGAGCAGAGGAATGACGTTGTAAGCTGACTGAGGCTGGGTGCAACCATGTCTGCAGTATGGGTTGAACAAAGCTGAGCTTACACAAAGCCTGTCTGGTCAAAGACTGCACTGCGTTTATACAATCCCTTAATACCTGTGGTGAACATGCAGCATAATGCTCCAAGAAGCAATCCACATCATCCTCTAATAACCATGCCAGGGACTCTACCTGGTCTGCACTAAATGGTGGCAAAGAGTCATTCCTGCTTTCAGGGGTACCAGATGAAGCCAACTCTACACAAACCTGAATCAAAGGTTGCACCTCAGAGAACTCTGTGCCCTGATCTACTAGAACATGAGCGATCCGTATACATTCTAGCAGTTGATCCCGGGTATACTCCCTCAGAGTCTGATAAGCATATTCTCTGTCATCAAAAACCAGCAGCGACAAATACACAACCTCATCAAGATCCATCCTTCCCAGCAACAAGCCAAGATGGCTTCCCTGTGCAGCCACTTCTGGTCAGGATTGGCCTTGGTGTAATGTCAGGGCTCCAGGGTATGACCAGAGGTATGTGAACTGACGCAGGGAAACGCAGGCTTCAGATATGTTATAAGCAATATAATTTATTAATACTAACAATACATAAACGCAGTGCAATACTAAAACATAACACAGTGCAAACGAACCAAACCAAACCACCCACAGATAACAATACATACAATGCAAGCGTCGTCAGGCAGGCCGGGTCAATAACAATCGGGCAGGTAGGAACAGGAGGAGCAGGCAGAGAGTAGTCAGGTCACGAGCCAGGTACAGCAACTAACGGGCAGGTAGGTACAGGGGGTCAGGCAGAGAATGGTCGGGGTCACAAGCCAGGGATCAAACAGGAGAAGTCAGCAGAGGTCCGGATCAGGCAGGGTCGGCAACGAATCAGTCAGACAGGACCAGGAATGCAGGTAACAAGATACAGGGGCCCATAGAAAAACACACACCAAGGCACAGACTGCAGGTCTGGCCATCCCTTAAATACACCTGTGATCAGCCTCAGGTGTTTTGGCTGACTGCAGGGTTGAGTCTCTGATTGCTGAGAGCACCCGCTGGCCAGCCCTGGTACTGCAGCCCACAAGGCAGGTGAGTCCCACCATTACTGGCAAGTCCATTCCTGACATTCACACTTCTCGAGCTTACAGAAAAGCTCGTTCTCACGTAACCGTTGCAGCACCCGCTTGACATCCTGGATATGAGACTCCATAGACGCAGAGTAAACCAGGATGTCGTCCAAGTAAACCACCAGGCACTGCTGCAACAAGTCACAAAAGACATCATTAATGAACTCCTGCACCGTCAGGATTCATGGCATTCGTGTAGTGTCAGGGAGCGAGGAGCCAGACACACAAGGAGGTGCAATTAAAGGTAGGTTTATTTACACAGAAACAAGACAAGAGTCTATGGAAGTCCGACAGCAACAACAGATGACTTGGTAGGACAGACGTTCTGCTGCCGAGGTTGTCTTCCAGGATAATCAAGTCGAGAACCAGGGGAATCGTAGCCAAAGCCGGGGTCAGAAGCCAGGAAGAATGGCCACCAGAGCCAGGGTCAGAAGCCAGGAGGAGTCTTAGCCAAAGCCGAGTCGGTATCCAGGAGAGCAATGAGTGAACTGAACAGGAGCTTGCTGCCGTGCAACAGACAGGACATGAATGCAATGGACAGCTACAAACAGCAGACTTAAATGTTATAAGCCGCCACCTCCTGGGAGGAGCCGCAGAGGGCTGAAAGCATAAAGGATCCCACAATGCTTTGCAGACCTAAGATGGATGCCAGCACATGGAGCAGCACAAGCCCTGAGGAAAGGTAGGGACCTTGATAATAATCGACACACGGCCTCAGGGATTTGTCTTTCTTCTCAACAAAAAAGATCCCTACCCCAGTGATGTGGAAGGGCGGATAAAACCCTTACGAAGGCTCTCATCAATATATTCCTCAGTACCCCCAACTCTCGTTCTGACAGGGAAAAGATTCAGCCGAATGGTATTTCAGAACCCAGGAGAAGATCAATGGGACAGTCGTAAGCCCAATGCGGGGGAAGAATATCTGCCCCCCCCGAGGGCTAAACACATCAAGAAACTGATGATAGGCCGCAGGCACAATTTGGGCTAACTCAGTATCAGTACTCACACTTAATAAGGTTGGTGTCTCTGGTGGTAACCTGGGTAAGCAATGCTCCTGGCAATAAGGTGAGTGAAATTGAATCGACCCGGTCTTCCAGTCAATTTGGGGGTCGTGGGCTCTTAGTCATGGAAGCCCCAAAATAACTGGAAATAGGGGGGACGTGATGGCATCCAAACGGAAAAGCTCTTGATGATGTCCTGCCACAGTGGTGTGTATAGGTCTCCCGATCTACCCTTTCCGATTTAATTTGAGACCCATCGGCCAAAAAAATGTTCATGCCATGCTCTTTGGTGAGCAAGGGAATCTGGTGCTGGGCTGCGAAGCTAAGGTCAACGAAGCAGCTACACGCCCCGGAGTCAATAATAGCTGTCACCTGTACGATTCTTCCAGGGAGCTGAAAAGATACAGGTACAGCCAAGTGAGTGGGGTTGCCTGTGCACACAGTAGATATAGCAGAAATAATAGAAGAGGACTTACGGAACTTCTCTGGACAGGAGCGCACCATGTAACCCGCTGCTCTGCAGAAGAGGCATAGATTGTTTGACCGATGTCTCAGACGTTCCTCCGTTGAGAGGGATGGCCGCATCAGACCGAGCTGCATGGGCTCAACCCCATCTGATGATTCCGGACTCCGATTTCTCACTGACCTTTGGCAAGACTGGTACCCTTGGCAGCATCCATGTGGGTCTCGGCCCCTGGCTGGACTTCTCCTGTCTCCTTTCCTGCAACCTACGATCGATCTGGATGGCCCGATCGATTAGGTCTTCCAAGGAGTCGGGTACTCCTACTCTGGCCAATTCATCTTTTAAAGGGTCAGACAAACCCAACCGAAATTGATGACGCAAGGCTGCGTCGTTCCACTGAGTGTCTCCACTCCAACGCCTGAATTCAGCTGCGTAATCTTCCGCAGCCCGGCGACCCTGCTGTAAGGAATAGAGAGCTGCCTCAGCCGAGGCGGCTCGATGCGGGTCATCGTACAGCTGCACCGTTGCCTTGAAGAAGGTGGTGACAGAGTTCAGGTGTGGGTGGTGGGTCTCCATCAGGCAGTGAGCCCATCCCTGGGGTTCACCCTGCAACGGGGATATAATAAATCCTACCTTCACGGATTCAGATAGAAAGGTCCGGGGCTTGCAGATCAAAATATAGCTGGCAGGAGTTTTGAAAGGCCCTGAACTTTCCTTGATCCCCATTGAACCGCTCGGGTGTTGGGACTCGCGGTTCTGGCGGAGGAATGGAGAATGGAGCTCCAGTGGAAGGTGTCATGCCTTCAGCAATTTGTTCTTTGTTAATTAGGCATTATTAGTATGCCTTATCAGTTTGTAATTCTCTGTTCATTGTGTAACTGCTCCATCTAGTGGCTGTTTGTATACACTGCATCTTTTCACAGTAGAAGTTTGACCCATTTCAGCTTCCATAGCTTGTAGCCTATGAACTCTGATTACATCATCAGCCCTGCTCATAGCAGCCATTCCTCATCACAGACTCCATTCCTGTGGTAACCACGCTGCTGGTAGGATCCAACCCTCACATTCAGGTTCACAATAGCATCGTCGGTACGTCTACACACATGTCTATATCTTATGCATCTGTGTTTTATGTAACCTACATGTCTTACATGTGTTTATATGTGCATTGCCTTACTGTAATGTATAATATGCTTTGTCACATGGCAGACAGTGTTACTAAGCGCCTTATTTTCTGTTCCTCAGTTTCACCTCTTATATCTTTGCAATAAAGACAAAGTTGGACGTTGCTTCTTTGTCAACTCATTGCCGAGAAAGGTTTAGCTGTCTGTCAAGCTATGTACCTTCACACATAAGGAGGACAGAACAGTGAAACGACGGCTTCTTACAAGCTGGATACGAGGACTGCGACTCCTGAAGTCCTGACTGCAGTGAAACGACGGCTTCTTACAAGCTGGATACGAGGACTGCGACTCCTGAAGTCCTGACTG